CCTCTCCGCAGCATCTCACTCTTCTACGATTCAAGTGGGCCCACAATCGCATTCAATAGAGGGGGATCTATTTTCCTCAACGTCAGATACTTTGAGGCATGGCGTTCGTACATTTGAGCCCAACGCTTCAACCCAAAATGATCCTGATTTCCATCAACTATTAGATGATGCAATGGTAATAGAAGGAATTAAGAGGGAACCACGTATTGCTTGGTACTTCATCTTAGCCCACGAAATCGCGGTGAGTAGTCCTGGATTCGAGTCGAACGATCGGATGAATCTCACGAAAGGCATAGCACAACCTTGTTCAATTGCATGTGAGGGTGTCATTACCTTCCGTACGTGATTTATCTAACGCCCTATCACAGAACGCGGAGCACGAGTTTTATTTCGCGGCGCTCTGCGAGCATCACCTAGTGGCATTGTGCAGCCACATTTAGATGCCGGGGGTCGCAACTAGCGGTGAACTGGATAAAGGATCAGGAGATCTCATCTACTGCTTACTGCTACGGTTGATTTGAGTGCGCTTCGATTTGCGCTGGCTGGTCACGATATACCTCCAAATAGCAATTCAAAGGTTTCTACGAAGCAAGGATCTGGATGAGAGAAGCGTTAAGCGTCAACATTGACCATCGCGCTTTGCTACGGGTTGGGCCGCAGTGTGAGTGGACTGCGTCCCCTGCGAATCGGGTCGTTGAGGAGCATGTCTTTGCACAAGCATGATGAGTGAGAACTCCAAGCGCGAATTCTGGGCTCGTTCTGTGCGGTGTTTATGTTGCCTGATGAAGAAATCTCCGGTAGCTTCGGGCTCCTTCTGCAGTAGGTTGAAGTAAGCCATATGACGTTAGCAATGAGGGAGCGATAATCCTTGTGCGTTCTACAATTATATGTGGAGTTGGATCCGTTGAGTCACATCGGCGACACTCTTACTACATACTTCCTTTGGATGATGGCTTCCACAACGCAAAATGGTGTTGCACCCATAAAACAAGAGCAAGCCCCACATCAAGTACAAGCCGTGCTTTGTTTGCTAACAGCTTTTCATTTAGATACATAATTCACGATGAACTTGTAGTTACAATCGGTGATGATTCCCCTGAATCGAAAACAAACCAACAGCCTATCGATCAGGCCGATGGGTCTCCCACCAAACGACAGCGCCTTAGTGGTGCACAGAAACGAGCACTGGCAAGAAGCCAGGGCTTCAAGAAAAGTGGTGGTATGAATAAAGGTCGACCCCAACTCCGCATCCACGACGAGGTGGACCTCTGCATTTTTATCGCCAGAGATGAGCGATGCCCATTCAGCACAAGGTATATACCACGTATATATCACGGGCAATATCACTGCTATAACCCTTTTTTGACACACAACCAGTTGCAAGAACTCTCACGATATGGAGAAGTACATGATAGCGAAGCCTCCAGATATTCGCTGGCCAATCCAAATTTCCCTTGTGGGTCCTCCATTGGTTAGGCTCATTGTAATCGATCCTAAACCAGAACCTGAGAAACTCCAAGCAATGGATGCATCCATCGGTTCTGATATAAGTTGTCCCTTGTTCGTTGAGAAGGGACGGTGCCCGTATGGATACAAATGCCGTTTTCTGGGAGGACACGTCGAAAAAGCGATGGATAGGGAGGGTTTACTGCCTTTCGCTGAAGCTGGCTCTCTCGTCACAAGCGCGAGAGCCAGCATTGAAGAAATCAATACCGTGGGCGCATCTCTCTTTAAGTCGTTACGATCGCGACAGGCATGTTCCTCGCTCCCTCACTTGCTAATGGCTTATTTACGATCCCGAAGTTCTCCACGCCCAAAGCGGATGGTTATTTTAAACAGCCAGAAGAAACCGCCACCCCTGCCATCGACGCCTCCGATAAGCAGCTGAACGATGCGTCCGAGGCGGCAAGTGCCCAATCATTCAAGCAGAATCTGCTCACAACTACCGCCGAATCAAGTGATACACCGGATGTACCTTTCAAACCAAGGGAGAAAACAAGACTCAACTGGACGGGGTTAACTTGTAGGCAAAATTCACATCAAGCATCTTGTGGTTTCATTCACGTCGCCGGCAGACCTAGCGCCTTTAACCACTGTTGGGAATTTGGTTTGTATAACTATACAATCTGGGAATGTTTCACCCGTTCATTTCATTTAGCCCTTCAGACGCCTAGCAGTCTCACTGGGAGCGGACATTACATGTTCTGAGATGGTACTATCGGGTTCTTTGCTTCAGGGCTCCCGGGAAGAATGGTCGTTGGTTCGTCGCCATCCCAGCGAGAGGGTGTTCGGTGTTCAGGTTGCGGGAAGCAAAGCGGTGCCCTTGGCAAGATGTGCTGAGGTGCTAGCCGAAGAGCTAGGGAGTGGTGAAAATCCCGGCATCGATTTTATAGATGTCAACTGTGGATGTCCCATCGACTTAGTCTTCCAAACTGGAGCGGGTGCGGCACGTAAATTCATTCATCTGTCCCTGCGAAAAAACGGTTCCAATCTTTGTTGTCCCAGTTCTTGATGCGCCCGGAAAACTGGGGAAAATAATTAGGGCGATGAATCATTCCATTGGGGCTATCCCGCTTACTATCAAAGCTCGCACTGGGGTCAAAGATGGGAAAAATACAACTCACAAACTAATGTCACGCGTCGGCGGGTGGGGGGTCAGTGCTATGACTGTAAGTGTCGTGTATAACAACAGAAAGCATGCTTATCTTGTGATCAGATACATGGCCGGACGCGGCAGCAACGGTATACTAAGATGGCAGACTGGAATTATATCAGAGAGTGCGTGGAAGCGCTCCGCGAACATACAAAGGACAATGATTGTGTGTCCCATGACTGTACCTGCGATCGTGAAATTGATGATGCGTTTAACAGTTTCTCCGATACCCATTTTTGGCGGCGGAGATGTTTACTCCTCACAGGCATACTGGGATTGTCTGGAGAAATATGGAATAGATGGGGTGATGATTGGCCGAGGGGCGTTAATCAAGCCCTGGCTGTTGTGCGTTGTTGTTGTCTTGATGCTACCATCCGAGGAATTTAATCCCAATGTACAGCACCGAGATAAAGGAGCGCCGAGAATGGGACATCAGTGCTAGGGAGCGTCTTGATTTGATCCGGCAGGTAAGATTCTCCTTGCGGGCGAACTTGGCGTGTTGTTGAATATTCCGTGATCCAGTATGTCGATCATGGTCTTAAGTGCGCCCAGATTTATCAACACTCGTACGCCGCTAACGTATGAGTGCAGTCATTGGGGATCGGACACAATGGTTCATTGTCGCATATACTAATTTCCGTAACAGATCTGACTCCTTTAGTACAGGGTGTAAATACAACTCGTCGATTTCTTTGTGAAGCCTTATCCTTCCAGCATCGCTATATTCCTGTGGGCCTACTGGAAGTAATGCCCGGTCGAATCAATGACCGGCCCCCTAGTAGGTGGGATTTCGTCCAGAAGTAGGCACCAATTAATCAATTCCATGCAGGGTTTCGAGGCAGAAACGAACTAGGTATCAGTCAATTTTTGAGGACACTCTGCGAGTAGTGTCGTTGCGCTTATTACTTTTCTTGTAGAGACGTTACTTGCCAGCACCCAGGTCACCGATTGGATCAAAATTTCTGAAATGTTCTTGGGTCCTGTTCCTGAAAACTGGACTTTCATTCCTAAGCACAAAAGTAATGCAGTTGAAGGAAACGGGTGATTCCAATCATCCTAATCGTTCTGATCACTTTATCGTATTTTTACTGCGATGCTAGTTCTCCACCATACTTCCTCCAAAAACCGCGTTGGAACTTCTCCAATTTTTCGATGTACTGTTCCACTCCCGCGCACAAGCATGTCAATCTTAAATGAGCTTCACCCTCCTTCTGGCCGAAACCATCCCCAGAGACTGCACAAATCCCAGTTTCGTCCAGCAAAGCAAGTGCATAAAAGGTATCAGGAGCTTTTCCAGCTGCTTTGGCTTCCGCGATAGCTTTGTCGGGAAGGTGAAGACGGGGGAAAAGGTAGAGTGCTCCCGGAGATTCAACACATGACACTCCTGGAAGATCGTTCAAACGTTGGGCCATAAGCTTGGTACGGTAAGCAAGAGCCGCGTGAATGGCGTCTGTCTCCTTCTTCCAAAGAGGATAAGAATCATCTCCATCGACCGGAGGACGAACAAGACATTCTACTCCAATCTGACCGCTAACAGGAGGACATAACCCTACGCTGGCCATCTTATAAATCAGCGCGATTACATCTTCGGGTACATTGGTACACTCGAAATAGCCGCCACGACGCCCACACTCCCCAGTGACACCTTTCGAGATGGAATGGAATGAGATCAGTGCAACGGGAGACTTCATGTCCCTCACTACCTTCTTGAAGGAAGTAAAGGGATGATTCTGGGAGTCGTGGAGATTGGATTGATAGACTTCATCAGCGAGAAGAACAAGATTATGCTTCTCGCAAACTTTGACAATCGCTTCCATAGTACGTTGATCGAGAAGAGCTCCAGTTGGGTTCCCCGGATTGATGATGACAATGGCTCTGACATTGATGCCTTCGGCCTTGGCATTGACAGCAGCTTGATCAACGTCTTGTGGATCGGTGGACCATCCTTTTGACTCGTCGAGGAAGTACGGTACAGGAACACCCGATTGTTGTGCGAGGGTGGCAGAATATAGCGGATATTGCGGAATAGGAATCATTATCCCTGTCTGGTGACTGGCTACCAGTATGTTAAGAACAAGTGACACTCCGGCAGACGCGCCAGCGGTCAGGAAAATGTGGGAGGGATCGGATGGGTATCCGTCGCGTTCTAACACCAAGGGATAGATAAATGGTTAAAGGGGCGCAGAGATTATTGCTCACTTTCAATGAACTGTGAAACGCTTCGACGGATATAGGGTATACCCTGACTATGCGAGTACGCTCCGATGGAGCCGATCTCTTCATAAAGCTCCTTTGCACGACGAAGGACATCGGAAGGGAAGAGGTGCTTCCCTGTCTCAATTAGCTCCGGGTACTCCAGAAGCGAAGCGATCTTGGAATCAAAGGTTGAGTCGAAGGTTCAGATCGAAAGCCACGCAACAGATGTACCTGTCGTCCAAAGGTCAATGGCTTCTGATCAAGACCTGGCTGCTGAGGATTTCCTATGTTGGAAGGAACGATTTTGTCGAATGGGAGACCGTGATCGTTTGGATGGTTCTTTATTCTGACACGGTAGACCTCGGCTTTGATCGCCAACTCTCCTCGAACTGCATACTGGACACCGAGGAGAGCGGGATTTACGGATCCCAGGGTCAACGCGGAGGGTGAGTGCATACTAGATGGAGGTACCACCAAGAAGCGAGCCTGATCACGTAGCGGTATTGACCGGAAGAGCTGGACGGAGCCAGGCCGCCCAAGGTATCTTTGTACCAACATGCAGTGTGTTCACACAGTCAGCTGATGCAATGACTTATTTCCCACCTTTACCTTGCTTGCAAGGTCACTTTCCAGCCTGGTATTCCTTAGCCTTTTTCCCACCCTCTTTATATTGTTTGTTTTTTTCCCACCCTCTCTTTTCTCCAGTAATGTCACGTTGCTCCTTTTCCTGCCCCCGTTCAGCAGACGCAAGGGACTGGGAAGAGGGATTGGTGTTAAGGCTAGATAGAACTTGTGTTATTTCTTCATTTTCTGCACACCCCAATCTCCTCCAAAGATGGTCTATATGGCCATCCCCACTGGTTCTACATGGGAATAAAGGCACCTCAGCATCTGCTGAGTGCCAGCTGACCAAAGCGCCGCCGTGCTTCGACTTTCTCTGACCCTTTCCTCTCGTTCTGAGGCCAGTGGCGATTCCTACAGCCACCTCTCCACCAATTGTAAGTGGGGAGAAGCGCTTGCCAGCCCAGGCTGGGTGCCAGCACACTGAGCACCCACGCACTTGACCTTTCCAGGTTAAACTGTCCAGTGGTCTCTACCACTGTTCCTGGGCAACAAGCGTCATCTGTACGCCTAGGGATGACGCAGGTGACACGTCCTACGTCGGTTTCAGGCCAACTTAATGGCAGTCTGGCGCTTGTGGACTGCCAACTCACGGAAGTGCCCTGTGTTTCAATCTTCTCTGGGAGTGTTAAACTCCCGGCTCCTTCCATCTCGAATGTTAGGTCCAAATGACCACCTCTCAACCAAGGTTGACAGCAGTCTGGCACTTGTAGACTGCAAGCCCACAGAAGCGCGTGGCGCTTCAACAAGCCCTGAGCCGTCGCAGGCTCCTATCGTCCTCCCCGGATCCGGAACTGTTCCAGCCCTCATATGCTCTTCCCCTCCCTCGGATGAACCCCCAATCCCGGAGTTCCGGAGGAAGAGCAAGTCTTCCAAGGAAGGCAGGCTTGCCGCTATGGCAAGCAATGTCCTCCTGCCCAGCAGGAATATTATTGTTTTAGGATTCACCAAAAACAGGAGAATATGTTTTCAACAGCTACCTAAGAGAGTGGCTTTCAGCCACTATGGGATCAAGGTGGTGTGGACAGAATATTATATTCTTTTATTCTTCTTCGTTCAATTGCCACGCCTTGCACGCTTTGGTGCACACTTTGATTGCTTTGGCCTTGTGCACTATGCACTTGGACCTCAATGCTCAAACATAACATCCCGCATTTTGTTCATCTTACACCACCCTTACTTCACTGATGTGATGCTGAAGTGAGAGCGACATTCTGATCTACTAACGATGTCATGTACGATAGTTTGCAATCTAGGTACATTGTTGAATACATAGTTCACTGACATGAAGCTGAGTTCGCGATCTAGTAATTATCACAGAATAAATATTCAATCATTTATGTTATGGGATAGGAACCATATGTGGATGCAAAGTCTGGGTGCAAGCAAGGTCGGGGCGGCGCAGCAGCCATTTCTAGTGGTGAAATTTTGGGATTTATGTAATGGAGGTACGTGTGCCTCGGGTTCTAGCATTTTGGTTTCATCCTGTCCGCCGCACACCGGAAACTCTTTTGACCTCGCGTACGGCATATATACTTATCGCCTTTCAAATGCTGTATGCTCAGTTTGTTTTTCTTATCATATCTCGGTTGTTTCTAGGGTTGTTTTGGCTGTCCTTTTGTATCGGTACGTTGTATTCTTTTCTTTGTTTGCGTCCTGTTGGACGTTTCGGCCTCCGTGCCTTTGGTTTCAATGCCTTCGGCTTCAATGCCATCGGCCCTTGTGCCTTCGCGCTTACTGTTGCGCTTCGGCCTCTGTGCCATCTTTGCATTTCCCTTTTATCTCAGTCTTATTTTCTTTTTCGTCTTTTCTGACTTTTTGTTTTTGTTAAGTAATAGTCCGACCTTTCAATTCCGAATGTAAGTATTCGGTCTTACTAAGGGTGAAGGTGTTGTGATCTTCGGTTACCTTTGGTGGGTAGGATCCCGTATATTTACGAGTTCGGTGGTAGTCTTTACTCTTTTTCATTTTTCGGTTCTTTCCTATCCGTTTGTAACCTCTCTCTGTTCTTTGCTCGACTTTGCTTGCATCTTGCGTTACCCGCCACCTTCCCCTTCTTCACCAGTGGTTACTCAATCTTGTACTTAAACCCCAGGTCGCTCAATGTTCATAGAGCTAAGGCGCTGTGGGATCGTATTATACGTACGTGACAAACAAGTCTCCGATCGTTGGATTGAGTTAAAAACAACATTTAAGCTTGAATACCCCATTGACTCCAAGGGGCTTGGAGAAGTCTGGAGAGATCCCTCCTCCGATATTAGTGTCAGAAAATTGCGAAAAGATGTTCAGGACTGTCCTTCAACAGTCCCTTCATCGTCATCCACCACCTCCCCAGCATCCAGCCATGACTCTTCTACCGTCGCCTTCACTCGTCTCACGTATTCCTTCATATTTTCGCGGTACAACTGTGCTGCTTCTGCATTGGCTGGGCTGCAAGTGCTCAATGAGCCATTTATGCCAAAACCAACCAACAACCAACAACCAACTATACCTATTGGGATTGGGGTCATGAAGCAAACTTTGGATGCTAGTTAGTATCGCGGCCACGTCGTAGGTAGGCGACCAGCGATTCTGAAGGATATCGAGACAAAGTTCTCCATTCGCATAAACGTTCGGATGGAACATTTTTGACAGAAATTTAACGGTGGGGGGTTTGTTGGGATAGGATTCGTCGAACGTCAAAAGCAACTTAAAGGTTCCATCCTCGAAAGGAGTGTCCACTGAGCTGAATCATGAGCGAGTCGTACGCTAAGTTAGACCTAGCGTTAGAAAAGGCTACCTGGTCCGAATATCACTGCGTTCCATAGCATGAGGTTGTCATTGCAAGGGGCGCCTGATATTCCCTGAGGTGGATCGGACGAGAGTTTTTTGAAGTCCCGGATCAGTCGTCGACGGGAAGGGGTTGACTGAGTAAATATCGTTAGCAACCAGATATAAGCCTAAACCGGTGGGACGTAAGTTGGTCAACCCTACCATTGTGGCGTAGCTACCTTGTGGTTGAGAGGCAGTGGAGGTTGCGTGGACACCGTCACGTGTGTGTGTTTGTAGATTCAGAATCATTGCCTGCCATAAATCCAGTTCGCTCCTGGCATTGGCCACACCGTAACCACGCAGTGTGCTTACTCACACATGGCGTCCGTGAACAACCGGGAACCCTCTCGACTACTATCTGGGAGCGACGCTGATGTGAGCGAACGTTTACGGATTGTAATTCATTTTTGGGCATCCGCTTTGCTTGCTACTGACAAACGGCAATCAGTGGAGTCATGAGCTTCGGATGAGGCTGCAGTACGCTCGGCTGAAGGTTGATCATGGGTGGGTGAGTGCTATATTGGGTTGACCAAAGGAAGTTGATGCTAGTTTGCTTCATACAGACCCGTCAAACGCTAAGCGAAGTTGAAAATTTGTATTTTCACCATTATCCACCGGGCTCGCTGCACAGTAGGATCGTCCTCAGCTTCCGTTATCTTGTGCTTAGGTTATACGCAGATACGAGTTATCAAGACCAACCCACTGGCCTGTCTTCCGGGGGACCTTCCCTTTCACCCATCTCCCTGAACGGTGTTCCTCCTGCTGGACTCGCTCCTGTCAAGAGCAATGCCTTGTGCCCTATTACCGATCACAAACTTGCAGAGACAGAGCATCCGGATTGTTTCCAATGGTCTATCAGTGGCGGGGGTCCAGAGGTTTCAATAACTTTGGTACCTGTCGTGCGTTCTGATGATCGCGCCGATGTTACCCCGACTTCATCACCAATGTCCCCAGGGACTGCGCCAGATTCCATGGCAAGTACCGCTAGTCCTGTTTTCAAGCTGTTAATTATTCATCCTCTGATTCGCAAGTCGTCGGGTTAAACTGCAATGAATGGTCGGTGCGTACGATTCAAAAGTCCCAGTATAAATGGGATTTGATCTGAATTCCACGTAATATGCTGTCAAATATTCAATGTGTAGTTCAGGTGAGGTCACCCTCATTAATTCCGGTGTTGCGAGGATAAAAAAGTCTTGTTCTGGCTTCGTCAATGACACCATTTCGGATTGGCCTGAGCTTCCAAAGCATGCTGCACATCTGTTGTGTTGGGTACGTTTCTCTTATCTGTTGGGTGGTTCTTTTATGGCTGTACCTTTTGATTTTAAATTAATTGTACACACATCTTGGTGTATGTTTATGCATGTGTTAATAATCTGTGACTATTAACATGCATGATACAATTGTTCAGAGAGTACTCTACATAATTGCATGGTCCCAGTCTTGATCAACAAGATCATCCCCACGAGAGCAACCGTTGACGGGCTCGCTCGATTTGTTGATCGGGCCACTTTTTTGGTCGGAAGCAAACTCATCGTCGCTTCTTACATAAATAATTGCCAAGAACCTCCCAGCGAGTCCCCTTCTCTTAATTGCTACTGACACAGCACCATGGCGCCCCTCAAAATCACTAAAATCTGCTGTCTCGGTCAGTGGGCGCGTCGTCCGCCTAGTTCATGGTATTGCCCAAGCTTACTTCATTCATGATCCTCGCCGTTCGTGGTTACAGGAGGTATTGCCATCACTTCGTGTTTGCGCTTGAGTCTCGCGTTTATTGTTTTTATATACTATCTTACGTGTAGCTGGATATGTTGGCGGACCCACCTGTTCTGTAATTGCCTTAAAGTGTCCTCATATTCAAGTCACGATCGTGGATTTCAACCAAGCTCGCATCGACGCGTGGAACTCCACCGATTTTTGTCTCCCTATCTATGAGCCTGGTCTTGAGGACGTTGTCCGTCAGGCCCGCGGTCGAAACCTGTTTTTCTCCACGGATGTTGACAAAGCTATTCTCGAGGCCGAGTTGATCTTTGTGAGTGTCAACACCCCAACCAAGAAGTCTGGTGTTGGGGCCGGCTTTGCTGCCGACCTCAAGTGAGTTTGTTTCTGCAGCGTCTGGAAAGTCCTTTTGACAGATGCGCCCTTCAGTTACGTGGAATTAGCAACTCGTCAAATTGCCCGCGTCTCCACTTCCTCTAAGATTGTCGTAGAAAAGTCCACCGTTCCTTGCCGGACGGCAGAGTCCATGCGAACAATCCTCGAAGCGAATTCCAAGCCTGACTGCCGATTCGACATTCTCTCTAACCCCGAGTTTTTGGCTGAAGGAACTGCTATTCAGGATCTATTGAACCCCGACCGGGTGCTTATTGGCTCACTCCAGTCTCCCGAGGGTCTGAGTGCGTGTGAGTCGCTTGCCGGGATCTATGCTCACTGGGTCCCCAAATCCCGAATCTTGACCGTTGGCCTATGGTCTTCTGAGTTATCGAAGCTAGTTCGTTCAGGATTGCGGGATGCAGACATGTTTCCTTGATTGATTGACTATTTATTATAGGCCGCCAATGCGATGCTTGCTCAAAGGATTTCTTCTATCAATGCATTGTCTGCCATTTGCGAGGCTACTGGTGCCAATATTGACGAGGTCGCACATGCAGTTGGCAAAGACAGTCGTGTTGGACCAAAGTTCCTGCGTGCATCCGTTGGGTTCGGTGGAAGCTGCTTCCAAAAAGACATCCTTAACTTGGTTTATCTGAGCGAATCACTTCATCTGACAGAAGTTGCCGTGTACTGGCGTCAGGTCGTTGAGATGAACGAATACCAGAAGCGTCGTTTCTCGAAGCGCGTGGTGGATACCCTCTTTAATACCATCACTGGAAAGGTAATGTGTTCACGCTTTGGTTTAGGTGGCAAGCTGTCCTTCTGATGCGTTAACAGCGCATTGCGGTGCTCGGGTTTGCTTTCAAAGCTGATACTGGAGACACTCGGGAGTCAGCCGCCATCACACTTATACGAGATTTCTTGTCTGAGAATGCACACGTTAACATCTACGATCCAAAGGTGAGTTGTGGAATGATTCATTCGATACATCGGTGTACCACCCACAAATTGTTTTCGCAAGGTCGAGGAGTCTCAAATCTGGATGGACTTGCAGGAAGCATCTCCGTCTCTGAAGCTCGCAGACAGTAAGTGTGTGATTGATACGTGAATATGATTCGAACCTTAGGTTACGTGAATCCCATCAGTTCAGAAGCACATTAACATCACGCATTCTGTCACTGAAGCGACGCAGAATGTAGAGGCCGTAGTGATTGCGACTGAATGGCCCGAATTCAAACAGATTGACTGGGCTGGGGTGTTCAGTCAGATGAAGAAACCAGCCTTTGTATTTGACGGCAGACTTGTCGTGAATGGGGAAGAGCTGCGCAAGATCGGTTTCAAGGTATGGTTGATATAGTGTGGTGATGGGTGGTGCAACTGATCTGGATCGTACGTGCACAGGTCAGCATTATCGGGCGTGGTGAACGCCTTTAATCGAACCAAAATTCCGTTTCGTGCATGGATATCCTCACCCGTGATGTATTCTCCCTGTATAGATGAGGACGGAGGACAAAGTTCCGTCGTTAACATGATATGAATAAATTCTAACGCCGCAAACGGCCCAATATTTGTTCTCCCTTTTTTTTTTCTCAATCGAACTGAATGCAAAATACAGCTCATGGTTGAAGCCAGACTCCTACCCAGTCGTCTTGCAAAATTTCCGAAGTTTATCTGCAATTTCGCTGTGATTGCGCCAATTACAGCAACCGTCAAAAAAATTTGCGCGTCAAATCTTGATGGATATATAACTGGGGAACGCCGCCTAAAGCGGCAGATCCCGCTACTCTTACCTCGCATGCATGTTCACTCTCAACGTTACTGATGAAGCCCGAGATTCACTCTCGCTCTGTAAATCCACCGCATACTCTGATAAGTTCAGGACCACGTAATTTACACTGCAGCCATGCAGCAAGCGGAATAGAACTGTATGGGCAGAGAATGGACCCTGGGTTTGGGGGTCATACAGGACCCTGTGCATAGGACAATTGAGTTTGGGAGAAAAAAATGTAGGACCCGCTACGGAGTAGTGGGAATTAGGCAAAACATGTGATTTGCGATTTAGGAAAAAAATCACCGTGTCCCAATGGCACCACCAAAAAAGGATATTATTCACCGCTCTATTATCATAGAGGCTGCACATGCATATAGTGGGCAAACACCTCAAACCCACAGCCAAGGATCTAATCATCACTATGCCTAACTTGATGAGCACACACAATATTTCAGCAGTAACCCAGCTGTCTGCTGTTGGAATTTGTACATGTGGTCTTTTAGGGAAACCTAAAAGTTGGACATACTGGGAATTGAACTCCAGTCCTCTGGATTGCAAACTCAGTGTGCACAGTGTCACGGCCGTG